TTCTGAATTGATACTTCAACTGAGAATTAATCATTAAGGTACTTTTTGGAAGTTTGAACAGTTTGTATCTCATAGTCAATTGGCATTGACTTATGTATGTAATCATTCTAAAGATGACTGCATTGGTAATTTTTTTTTTTTTTTAGTCTTGTGAATTAAATTGGATCATGCAACCTGGGAGGTCTTCTCTAGTGCGGAGGACAATTATGATAGCTTAGCTATTACACAAAACAGAGGATGTGCAGGTTTAGTAGTAGGCTATCCTTTTGGCAATGACATCTTTTACAACTAAGGCATAAATTCTGCCACACCTTCCCATATAACTTTCCTAAGGACAGGCAGTTCTTAAAACTGTACAATGTGGCTTTGTTTCTCCTTTGCACAGAATTTAATTAAGGGCTAAGTGGGTTCTGTGTAGACTTTGTTGGATTGTTCCACGTAATCGGAGCCCTTATTTATTGTACCCATAGGAACTCTTTCCTTTAGCTGCTTTAAACATCTAGGCTGACTCCTACCTAAGCATAATCAAGCAGAAAACTGCTTTACTTTAAAATTACAATGCCAGGTCCTTTCAGTTGTGAGCAACATTGGGCTTGTATTTTAGAATTCTAGATGTGACGGGACTTTGCTGTGACTACAGTATTGAAGAAAAAATTATTAGATGGTAAGTAGCAGCTTTATAAAAGCTGTGGTGAAAGTGGAAGAGCCATGGAAAGTTGATGTCCATCTTAATATTTCCTCAATACATTTATAGAAATAAATTGCCCAATTTATTATTATAAATTGTTCAATATTTTTTTTCTTGTTCTCCTGTTGCAAATTTCTAGACTTGCTTTTTCTTAAGCTATGAGTGACAAGAAAAACAAAACCCATAAACATCTTCACTTTAGTCCACAAGCAATTCTTTGAGTCAAATTAGTTTGAAGTCAGCACATCTGTCTCCTGTATCCTTTCTGCTATTTGTGACAATAATGGGGACAGGACATTATGATTTTTTCCTGCTGTCGACTTTCATGCACGTACATAACACCCAAGTGTCAACATGCACACATTCATTTTTTCCTCTGATGAAATGTTTTTTCTTGTTGGTCTGTTGTGACCCTGACTCCCGAGCCTGTCCTAACAGAGGAAGAGGGCTCAGAAGGTGATGGGGAGGAACTGACAAGGCCTCCCTCTCCAGGACCCTCCTCTCTGGCAATGCCTCAGTTTCCATCTGAAGGCCAAGAGGAACAGCCTGGGATATGCCAGGAGGAAAGCATATCAGAACAACAACAGATAGGGAGCGAGGATGATGAATCCTGGCTTGATCCAAGGCAGCGTCGGAGGGAGAAGCGTGCGCAGCAACGAAAGAGGCGTGGGAGGGCCAGAGATTGAGCTGAGTCACTGAGCCACACCCCACAAGGAATAAAAGTGGGTGTGATTGCTCTTCAGGCTTTGTGACGGTCAAAGTTAAAAACCTGAGAGTCACATCGCATTACCTGAAATCTGGCTTGTACATATTTGGATTGGACCTTGGCTAACTCTTGCTTCGTGGATTACTTTTTTGCTACTGGACCGGACTGAGGATAAACTCTCTCTTGCTTACTGTGAGTGAAAACTGATTTGGCAGGCATTTCGCAGTTTACTGCCAAAATTCTTATCTGCAAGGGATTCTAGTCTGATTGCATAATAAAACCTTGGCAGGCGTGCCTGGTTGTGTGTTTGCCTGTGTAGGGAAGGGGGGGACAGAACATGGTCCTAAACTTTCTGCAAAGGCTGTTCACTTCCTAGGGAGTACTTGTGTGTGGTAACCATATGTAGGGTGTGTCACTTGCTTTCTTTCACATGCTTTCTAATTCTCTGCAGTGCTGTGATTTCTGGAACTTGTGCGCTGGCTTACAATTCTATTGCCTAATCCTTCCCTTCTTGAGTATAGAAAAATGCAGGCCCAGATGAATTCCTCTCTGCTGACAGCATCTTAATAAGGAGAGGAGAAATGGCTCCTGAGAAATTAGAGCAACCCCTGAACTTTCATTTTTAATGAAACTGAATCTATTTGACGTCCGGGTGCACTTTTTAAAAAATGGACTTTATCGCTAAAATTTGGGTTTTGATTAAGTGTAGCAGTATGATGTTTAACAAGAACATCTCTCTCAATTTGGAAAGAAATTATTTCTATTCCCCCTCCCCTCCCCATGTTTCCTATTACTCTAAAAGATTATTTGAAAACCAAACTGCTTCTGAAATAAAACACCTCTCGCTGATGAAACAAAGCTCAAAGGCTTTGTTGATTAGTCTATTGATTGTTTTTGGATTCATTCATTTTATTTGTTAGATTTGAGGTGATTCCGCTGCTATTAATTGTCATGTGGTTATCTTCACTAAGATCATTGGGTGCTGTGTGTAAAGGAGGTGATGTTGGGAATTATGTGTATGTATGTATGTGTATTTGAGCCTCCTTTTTTACTATATCTAAATTATATGTCATTTTTAGTAACATCGAATGTCAGATGAAATTGCTGTATTTTCTGCTAATGGATCAAAATAGGAATTTAAAAATATACCGTGTATGCAAACCTGGGGTTCCATTGGCAGCTTATATTCAGAAGCTTTGAATTTGGATAGATGAATTTGTGGGACTGTTTGTTTCTTAACAACCAACATTACGTATAAGTAAAGAATTTTGAGCCAGGATATATTCAATTTTGACAGAGTGCCACCCTCAGGCCAGACGACCTGATATATCTTTGTTTGTTTGTTTGTTTGAATTTGATTTATATGCCGCCCTTCTCCGGAGACTCAGGGCGCTTTACAATGCGTTAAGCAATAGCCTTCATACTTTTGTATATTTATACAAAGTCAGTTTATTGCCCCCACAAACTGGGTCCTCAATTTACTTACCTTAGAAAGGATGGAAGGCTGAGTCAACCTTGAGCCTGGTGAGATTTGAACTTACAGTAATTGCAGACAGCTGGTGTTAATCACAATGCTGAGCCACCAGGTGTTTGGGTCTAACACATTTCGGGCACCTGGAATTTCACATAAAATTAATACAGGTAGTCCTCGACTTATAACAGTTCATTTAGTGACCATTCAAAGTTACAACAGCACTGAAAAAAGTGACTTATGACCATTTTTCATAGTTAAGCCCTTTGCAGCAATTCCATTATCATGTGATCAAAATTCAGATGCTTGGGCAACTGGTTCATACTTATGACTGTTGCTGTGTCCCAAGGTCATGTGATCACATTTTGCGACATTCTCACAAGCAAAGTCAATGTGTGTGTGGGGGGGAGCCAGATTCACTTAACAATCAGGTTACTAACTTATCAACTGCAGTGATTAACAACTGTGGCAAAGAAAGTCGTAAAATGGGGCAAAACTCACTTAACTGTCTCATTTAATAACAGAAATTGTGGGCCCAATTTTGGTCATAAATCAAGGACTACCTGTACAGTCAACGTAACTAAATTAATGCTTACCAGCTTGAATAAATTCTTAGATCTCTCAGCGGCTTTTGATACCATCAACCATGGTATCATGCTGCAGCGGTTGAGAGGGTTAGGAATAGGGGGCACTATTCTGCGGTGGTTCTCCTCTTTCCTCTCTGACCGCTCACAGTTTGTGTTGGCAGGGGGGCAGAGGTCGACCTCGAGGCGTCTCGCATGGGGAGTGCCACAAGGGTCGGTCCTCTCGCCCCTTCTATTCAACATTTATGTGAAGCCGCTGGGTGAGATCATCCGTGGTTTTGGGGTGAAGTGTCATCTGTACGCTGATGATACTCAGCTGTACATCTCCACCCCAGACCACCCCAACAATGCCCTTGATGTGATGTCTCACTGCCTGGAGGCCGTGTGGGTCTGGATGGAGAGGAACAGGCTCAGACTCAACCCATCCAAAACCGAGTGGCTGTGGCTGCCGGCATCCCGATATAGTCAGCAGGTGCCATCGCTGACTATTGGGGGTGAATCTTTGCCCCCCACAGAGAGGGCTCGCAATCTGGGTGTCCTTCTGGACGCACGGCTGTCTTTAGAAGAGCATATGACAGCCGTGGCCAGGGGGGCCTTTTATCAGGTTCGCCTGATTCGCCAGTTGCAGCCCTTTCTGGACCGGGACGCCTTGCGCACGGTCACTCACGCCCTTGTCACCTCCCGGCTGGACTATTGTAATGCTCGCTACATGGGGCTCCCCTTGAAGAGCACTCGGAGACTCCAACTGGTCCAGAATACGGCCGTGCGGGTGGTTATGGGTGCAACTCGTTGTGCCCGCGTGACACCCCTCCTGCGCGAGCTACACTGGCTCCCAGTGGTCTTCCGGGTGCGATTCAAGGTGTTGGTTATCACCTTTAAAGCGCTCCATGGCACAGGACCTGGGTACCTTCGAGACCGACTTCTGCCACCAATAGCCTCCCATCGGCCAGTTCACTCCCACAGAGAGGGTCTCCTCAGGGTGCCATCAGCCAAGTTATGTTGGCTGGCGACACCCAGGGGGAGGGCCTTCTCTGTGGGAGCCCCAGGCCTGTGGAATGAACTGCCCCCGGAAATACGTAAGATCTCCAACCTCCGGGTGTTTCGCTGCGCACTGAAGACCCTGTTGTTCCGTCAGGCCGGGCTATCAATATAATAATTTTAAATTGGGGTATTTTAAAGTTTTTAGGGTTTTAAATTGGCCAAATCTATTTAATTATTTTAATTTTTAATCATTGTTGTGTCTTGTGCTTTTAAATTGGCTGTACACCACCCTAAGTCCTTCGGGAGAAGGGCGGTATAGAAATAAAATTATTATTATTATTATTATTATTATTATTATTATTATTATTATTATTATTATTATTATTATTATTATTATTATTATTATTATTAGCATTCACCATACATTTAGAGTTCATTGAAAGAGAAAAAACATCTTGGCTTGCTGTGTGAATATTGTTGGACTGATCTTCCTTGCTGCTGCTTACCTATTTCTTTTTCTTCATTTGACCACTAATCAAATAATAAATAGAAAATCTTTCCTTTTTAAAGCAGGTTGTTCACGACCATGGCAGAGCTGCTGAGGGTAGGATGATCTCAGAGAGCCACTTCTTTTCAGAGGACCTCGACTTACCTCATGGAGAAAGGAGCCACAATTCTTTACGTGAGCAATATTCAATATAGTTGGGATGACTCCTATAAGTACAATTGCATGCACAGTATTTATTCTTTAATAAAGAATATTAAAGAACTCAAAACTCAAAATATTAAACAACTTAAAATGCAAATATATCTAATTTATATGAAGTGGCTAAAAGAAAAATATAGGATAAATGCTTATATTTTGCTAATATATTGAAACTGTGTGCTTGATCATTATAATACGCAAGATAATATGCAAGTTCAGTTAGTCCTTGACTTATGATCACTAGTTTGACAATGGTTTGAAGTTACAATGGCACTGAAAAAAGTGACTTATGGTCCATCCTCAAAATTATGATTTTTGCCCCGCCCTCATTGTCACCTGATCACAATTTGGCTCAAATTTATGAGGGTTTCAGCATGTTGTGGTCACATGATCACATTTTGTAACCTTCCCAGACAGTTTCCAACATGCAGAGTCAATGGGGAAAGCTGGATTTGCTTAACAGCTGTGTGATTGGTTTAAGAGCCATGTGTTTAGTTTAACCATGTGATTTGCTTAATGAACACAGTAGAAATGGTCATAAAATCAGGTCTGTTATGAAATGACTTGCTTAATGACTGAAATTCCAGGCCAAGTGTTATAAGTCAAAGACTATCTCTGTAGATATTATTAAAAATGGCCACATATTGTATGTACTGAAGAAAGTTGCAATTGATCAATCAGGGATAGTACATGAGACAAAGAGATCAAAATATTGTATATACAAAATAAGTACGAAGTGCTTCAGCAATCTGGAATTAAGGAGAAACTTCCTAACTGCGAAGACAATTAACCAGTGGAACAGCTTGCCTTCAGAAGTTGTAGATGCTTCATCACTGGAGTTTTTAAGAAAAAAACTGGATAGTCACCTGTCTGAAATGGTGCAGGGTCTCCTTCTTTTTCTTTTTTTAAAATTTTTATTCATTTTTAAACATAAAACATAAAAACATATCTTTTTAGAGCAAAAGTTTGGTCCGGTATAAAATAAGTATAGATTCCAAATTTCATCCATTAACATCTTAAAAAGGAAAGAAAAAAAAAAGAAAAAAGAAAGAAAGAAAGAAAAAACAGATCTAAACCCAATTTTTATCATTCAATCTAACATTTTGTTCTAACATTTAACATACTATTATATATCACCCTAAATCTTAAATTCCAAATCTAAACAGCTTTTATAATATTCATTTATTATTTTTGCAATCAGCATTTCATATATTTTCCTTACTTCAAAGACCCAAATTAAGTCAGTATTTCGTCAATATTGCATCTAAAGATCAACATAGAATATTTTACTCCTCTCTTACAAACATTTCAAAATAATTTCACTTTAAAATTTATTCCACACCTATATTTTATTATACCCAAAATATTTTGTTTTTGCTAGTTAAATCATCTTCTCCATTACAACTAATTCAAAGATATCTCCTTTACTCATCCTAGGTTGCTTTTAACTGGATTACAGCTTAGTTAGCTGATTTCCAGAGATGCTTTCCTCCACTCCTAACCTTATATTTAACTGGTTCACAGTTTAGCTCTAACTGCTTCCCAGATCTGTCTCCTCCACTCCTTCTAAGTTTATTTTTGGCTGATTCACAGCTTAGTTAGCTGTTTTCCAAATATATTTTCCTCCGCTCCTTACCTTATATTTAACTGGTTCACAGTTTGGCTTTAACTGCTCTCCAGCATTATCTCCTCCACTCCTCCTAAGTTTATTTTTCTAGCTGGTTCACAGCTTAGTTAGCTGTTTTCCAGAGCTGCTTTCCTCCACTCCTAACCTTATACTTAACTAATTCACAATTTAATCCTAATTTCCATTTAATTAACTTGATTCATAGCATTTTATTTTAACTTACCAATTTAAAATAATAATGCCTTTTAATATATATCTTCTCTCCTACTCTCTCCTAAACTATTGATTTTCTTTAAATTTCTCCAAAATCAATTTACCATAATTGTAAAATCTATAAACAAATCTTATTAATATTCAAAAATTCATTCCCATTCTCTTATTTACTTTAAAAAGAAAAAACAACATTGTAATCCACTTTAAAATCAATTTTCTATAACCATTAAAGCTCTTATTAATACTTAAAAAGTTCTTTCATAGTCTTCAGATTTCTTGTAGTTTTTCTATAATAACATTTCTCGCTTTAAAAATAATCATAAAATCTATAAACAATTCTTGTTAATAAAGGCTTCATTAACATTTTCTTATTTTCTGTAAAGAACAATATTTTAAACGCTTTTAAAAAAGCAAGTTTCTGTAATCATTAAATCTGTCAGCAATTCTTATTAATAATCAAAAATTCATTCATACTCTTCATGTTTCTTATAGTTTTTCTAAAATCAGATTTTTCCCACCTTAAAAATCACTTCTTTTAATAACAGTAATGAAAAGTAAAAAAGGAAAGAGAAAGGGAAAAGGAAATAATAAAAAAATAAAATAAAATAAAATAAAGGTATGGCAAAAAGAATTAAAAAAAAGAATTCCACAGAAGAACAGAAAAAGGGAAAAGAGGAATAAAATAAAAGAATAATAAGATAAATAAAAAAAAAAGAAAAAGAGTAAAAGAAGGAAGAGGAAATCTCCTCCTTACATTATTTAGACATCAATTACATAAAAAACATTTACATCCATTTTAATCAGACTATAGTATTTTTCGTCTTGCTACCCAATTTTTTTTCTTTCCTTTCAATTCCAATGTCAGTAAAGTTATAAAGACTAAAGGATTTAGTTCTTTTTTATTCCCTATATGATATTGTCATGACCTCTTCCATTTCTACGCCCTTTCCTTTTGTTGCCTCGCCTTTAATCAACAGTTTTAATTGACCAGTTAATTCCTTCTTTCCAACTATCCATAGGTAGTCCAGAAACGAATTAAGTACATCCAAAATAAAACTTTTTTAGTTTTCCTTCAAGATAATCCATTTGAGAAAGCAAGAGTCAAAGTTTCTCCTTTAAATAGCAAGCAGTCCACAATTTACACTTTCACTTCTTCTTAACAGGCAACCATTTTAACTTCCTCTGCCACATCTGCTTAGGCAGTTTAAATTGTTCCATCTTATTTCTTATTTCTTTCCTTAATACCACCAATAGAAATCCCCAAAGTTGGAGCTCCTTAATTGTTTTCATAATTGACCAGCTTAGGTAACAAGATACATTGTGTGTGAGTTAATTCAAAAGCAATCCATAGGTTTAAACTTTCACTTCTCCACAAGGTGACTCCATTTTAGCCATTCTGTAATTCTCCGCTGGGCTTTCCCGGTTGCTTCAAAAAATTTCTGCTTACCACCTCTTCCCTCGTTGTCTCTCCAAAAGTAATCCATTTCAGTGACAAAGAGTTTCAAAGTTTTACAATTTCCAACTAACAGCCATTCCACAGCATTCAATAATAAAAGTCATTCATAAATGGGTCTCTTCCTCCAGCAAATAACTTTTAAAATCTTCTTGCCCCCACAGTCTGTAGCCACTGTTTAAGGCGGTTGGTGTCACGGCGACCCAGATGGTGAAATAGCGGGGCTCTTAGGAGCCCTGCGAAAACCCTGTCTGTTATGCCGCCGCCGGCAGGTCTACAGACCTACCCTGTCCTGGAGGGACAGGGGAAAAGAGAGGGACCCCTCGATCGGCCGAGAGGAATGGGCAGGTTCTTTAGGGCCAGAGGATTACCCTCTGCGTCGGCGTCGGCTGAGGGGCAGCCATGGCGGCTGCCTTGAGGCTGTGACAACCGGGAAAAGTGAGGTGCAGGAGGAAGAAGCGAAGAAATAGAGCAAATTGTTTGGAAGCCAGGGAAGTGATTTAACCCAGGCGGGGACAGCGCTTAAAAAATGGATTTTAACAGGGTCTCCTTCTTGATCAGGGGATTGGACTAGAAGACCTCCAAGATCCCTTCCAGCTCTATTCTGATTGAAACCCCTGCCAAAACAGGAAACATTATGCCATTTCAGACAAAAGGTTTTCCAAGACCAGTGTTTCTCAACCTCAGCAACTTTAAAATATTTAGCTTCAACTCCCAGAATTTCCCAGACATCATATGTAGACTTCAGTGCCCAGAATTACCCAGTCAACATGCTGTCTAAGGAATTTTGGGAATTGAAGTCCACACATAAATTTGAGGAACACTGCCCTTTGCCAGAGAAATTAATCCACCGTAATAGGGAATTGAAGCTGAGAGTGAATGAAAACATCCCTAAATCATCTAATACAGAGGAGTAGAAAATTTTGGTATAGTTCCCAGAGACTTCCAAATATTATTACCCAAATAGAATTCTTAAAGGGAGGAGAAAGTGTATTAGATTTATGACGAGATTTAATTGATACCTAACTTGAAATTTAAGTAATACTTGTTTTCTTCTGATCAATGTTTTTACCTGAAATTGCCATAGCAAAAGGGATGGAAAAAATTTTAGTACAGAAAATTAGTGTGAACTGTTAAAGAGTTTGAAATGATGATGTAGCCCAATGTGAGTTCAACTGTGTTTTGATACAATTTGATTTGAGATGGAACTTGTAATAGTGGTGGATCAAAGATTTCTTTTTCAGTTTGATACATAGACCCAAGAAAAAAAATCATTCTAGAGCTGATAATTGTTTTGTCCTTTTTGATTGGATTTCTTTAAAAAAAATATGTAACTTTCAGTATTGATACTTCTCAGATTCATAGCTACTCTACTATTAGAACCAGATTTCTGGTGATGACCTGTGTTTACTTGAACAGATACTCTAGATACTAAATGAATGCATCCCTTTAATAAAATGGAAATGTCTTTGGGGATTGCAGTCACTACCAACTGCTATATCCTTGTGTGCAAAAGAGATAACATGATCATATGTTTTTCTTTGGTGTAGAGACAGATCTCCACAGATATGGCAGCATAATTGTTGGTAGATATAAGTTACACCCATATTAACTGTGGTGACATAGTAATTACATAAGATTTGGCCCTGCAGCAGCAGCAGCCCTTCCCTGATTTTCTTAGCAAACTGGACAACTGGGACAGTTTGTAAATTGAGTGTGAGTGTATTATTTGAAATCGGGTGACATAAGTTTGTGCTTGTATGAACCTCAATACTGTGCCCCCAAGCAACCTCTTCAACTCCAATTCTGGATGTTATGTAAGTTCAGAAATAACCTCATACATTTTTCAAATGGGAATGGGGAAGTGCTTTTTGGGGGGAGCCAAAAGCATAAGCATCTAAATCATAGGGTTTCCCCAACCTGTACTTAGGTTATTTTTTTTTTTTTGACATCTTCTTGTTTTCAAAAGGGTAGCTCTTGAACTACTCACATGCAGGTCTAATGCCTATAATTTAGCTTTAAATTAGCAAAGAAACGAATGCAATCTTTAAAGCAAAGTTTATTCTTTAAGGTAAACTTTTTTTGCTTTGGTTATGGAGTTGGAATTAATTCAAGCTCTTTGGCCACCTGGGTTACTAAGTAGTTGTTGTGTTAAGCAGATTGAAGTTTTCATCTCTTACAATGGGTCTCAGTATCAGCAGCTGTGTTTATTCTAGAAGATCAGTGTTTTTCAAACTTTCAAACATGCTGTCTGAAATGTCTGAATGCTGGGATTTGACGTCCACACATCTTAAACCTGCCAAGTTTGAAAAATATGGTTCTAGATAATTTGCTTTATTCCTCTGCAGTTTCAAACCCGGAGAAAGCAGAGAACAGGAGAAACCTAGAAATACCTCGCTTTTCAGAAACATCCATCAAAGATAGACTTGCTAAGTACCAAGCGGCTGTGTCCAAGCAGAGCGGCTCTCACAGTTATGTGGTAAGTTTTACTTTTTAGAGATGGGTGGCTGTCACTGCTCTGCAGTAGAGGATTCCGTCTAAAATGTTACTGAAGACTTTATTCAAAATTCTTGAGTCATGATTTTTCCCCTTTTAAAATCTCATTTCTAATTAAAGCTAGTGGAACCTCTTTCAGGTTCTTTTTATGTGTGTGGGATTTTCTCTTTTTTGCTTCTGTAACAGCACAGGGGATAAGCTTTGCTTACCTGTGAGAATTGGAAAGATTTTTTAAAAATTACCTTTATCATCTATGACTCCCTCATTTACACCAAAGCACTTAGTTTTGTAATGGAAGAATGATCAGAGATTCCATATTTCCATACAGGAAGAAATGGAAATTTTGTGCTATTTTGTTCAGCATGGAAAGAATTGAGTTTCTAATGTCTGGCTTAGAATTCTTTGCTTTTCAATAAAATAAAATTTAGATGTAGGAGCCCATCCCCTGTGTTTTGTGTATTTCTTGATGTCAAATTGTGATGTAGGTTGAGGTCTAGTAGGTAATATCCTCTTGCAGGGTCAGAAATTCTGCTGTGGAGTCCTTGATGCTCTCTGAACTTAATTTGCAGACATTTCATTACCTGACTAGGTAACATCAGTTTGAACATGGATGCTCACCTAAGACTAGACACTAGCAGACCATCAATAACTCCAAGGACCAATGAAACAAGCAATAACTCCAGATCACACCAAAATGTGATTGAACTTGAAGGAGATATTATTTTTTGTCTTGTTTTTTACAGCAAGTGGGGGAAAGGCTGGCTTAGGGGAATAATTGATGAGTGGACAGCAATTTATCAAATGAACAATTTCAAGAAAGCCAAGTATTACAACTCAGGTCTCTTAGAACAGCTACTTTTTCATAAAAATGTACATAGCAATGCCTAGTAGCCTTGTCTAAGCAAAAAGAACTTTGAGAATGAGAGATTTGATTTATGTCTCAAAGGTGTTTTTTCAAAAGGCAACTGGGCTACTGCATACTTGAAATAAGGAATTGCAAGCAACAACTAGTTAAAATGAGTTTGTTATATTTTAAGGAGACCATAACATTTAAAGTAATCAAATATACTGTATCCTATCCTGCTTACTGAACATTTCACTATGTTCTGTAGATTTGGAAGAGGTTAGTGAATTAATGTGAACCTAGGGTAGATCAATCTCTACTTGGATAATTTCTGGAGTTTGTGCAATAAATTAGCAAGTATTTAGGCTAACTCTAACCCATCTGGTTTGCCAAAGAAAATTTCTTCTCAAATTTGGCCACTGAAATTAAAAAAGCTTGAAGAAAACTGGATTCTTATATACAAATGCAGTTCTGAAATTGAAAACATTTTTGGTCTTAAAAACTGGCTATATGTGTTTAGATGCCCTCCTCCCTGAGTGCAGTATTGTTTTATACCCAATTCCAGTTCATGTTCTTTGAAGTTCTAGGAAAAAGTAGTAGTTCCCCAAGGATGAGTCTGCTAACTCATTTGTCAGCAGTTCTTATAAAAAGGAAGGAAAGGAATGGGAATGCAGGGCTAATTTGTGATAAAGCTTGAACAGCTGATTGAGGTTAGACTTCAATGGTCTATTCTATGAAACCCAATAATAACAGTTGTTACATATTATTTTAGAGAGCTGATAGCTCCTTAAAGCTTAAGATAATAAGGAATGGCATTTTACTTGGAAACTTGATAAAGAGAAACAATTTCACTGTGCAAAACCAAGATATTTTCTGTATCTGCATAGGAATACTCTAACTGCAAATAAATTTTGTTGGGGGGTGGGGTGGGATTTTCTTCTGTTTACAAAGATCTACATTAATTTATCCAAGTGAGATCCTCTCAAGACATGTTAGACTACACCTCCTAAGACAGCAGGCTTGGCCGCTGGGAATTGTGGTCTAAAATATCTCAAGAGTACCATATAGAAGGCAGTATATACAGTATAAATTTCAGAGTTCCATAAATAAGAGAGTAGAGCAGAGGCCATCAGCCCAAACAACCCTATAGTATTTCATCAGAGTTTATCTTATGTTCTTAAGCTTAGCAAACAGAGAATTTGGGAATGAACGAAGTGCATTTTCTCCCTAAGCCTTTGCAAAAGCCTAAAATGATTTTTAAAGGAAAATGTTTCTCTTCCCCAAATTCTTTGCAGTTGACAAGGCAAGCAGGAAATAGCCTGGAAGATATCTCTCCTCCTGCTATTTTGCATATTTAATAGTTGCGTTTATGTATTGCAGAAGGAGAAGTAGACGTCTGCCTGTAAATAAAGCTTTGGGTTTTTTTTTAAAAAAAAAGCTTTTCTTTTTTCAGTGCAAAAGTCATCACTCATGCCTACTACACAGGGAAAATCATAAACCATACTCATTGCAATTTCTTTTTCCCAAAATACAGCTAGCTTTCTAACAAAAGAAAAAAAAATATTTTAGTATTGGGAGGGGTACCAATTTGATATCCCTTGTTCTTGTTAACATAAGAAAAAAAACATTTTCTCTCAACCCTGTGAAGTTTTTATAATGATGTTTGACATTTCTGAACTTTTAAAATTCCATACAGTGAAGTATTTCCCACAGTAACAGCTTGGCACTATTACTTTCCCTGTAGCGATGCTTTGGCATTTAAGAAAGAATTTAATTTTAGTGAATTATGATTCTCCCAGTAATAATTTTTCCAATCGTTCTCACAGCTGCAATTCTCCTCGCTCATCTTCCTTTTAGCAGGAGCAAATGGGCACTTTTATCCAACAGCATGACTTCTGTCTTACTTGTACAATTAACGGTACTGATTACATAATGTAAATTAATTTAAGTTAGCACCAGTGTGAGATTGAAATGAATGTTATGCCCATTTTGCTGGGCAAAAAAATCCATCAGGGCTGTAATGGAATTATTTAAACTAGACAGAAACCAAATTTGTAGGAGAAGGTCTATTGTCACTAAGTTGAGACTAGTAACTGCCAAAGGAGGACTTTTTCCAGGGTTGTGCCTTACTGGTGAAATATTCTGTACAAGAAATGTTCTGTATTCCTTGAGTTAAGACTATAGTTGGGACCAGAATTTCTGTTGCCAAGCAAGGTAGTTAAGTGAGCTGTGCCTGATTTTATGATCTTGTTAAGCAAATCACCACAGTTATTAAATGAATAATGCAGTTATTAAACAAATCCGGTTTCCCCCATTGATATGGTGATGTTGCAACCATCATAAGTGGGAAGAACAATCATGATTGTCACTTTTTAAAGTGATGTGGAACATTCGCTAACAAATGGTTGTAAGTGAGGACCACATATCAATGCTTCTGTTGAGAGATTCACTGGGAAATTCTTACTGATTTTTCTAGAAACAGGTTTCTTTAGTTTTCAGACAAGTTTCTTTAGCATTATTTATTTTATTTATTTATTTTATTTGATTTCTATACCGCCCTACTCCCGAAGGACTCAGGGCGGTGAACAGCCAACAATAAAATCCATACATACAAAATTTAAAAGCAGAATTAAAATCAAATTAAATAGTTTTGGCCCAGCCACATTATATATGTGGACAGGGGTCCTACTGTAAGATTTTAAGGGAGGTGGTACCTCCCTTTGGTTTATTATTGATTGATTGATTGATTTTGCAGGTTTTAGTTGACTATAAAATGAATTTATCATTTCAGTTCTAGCCTTAAGAATGACTTTAGGAATATAATTGAATGGTAACATAATAATACAGTAATTAAATATAGGATGTATATACTGTGTTGTTTTAACCATTTAGTCATGTCTGACGCTATAAAGTCACCAAGAGACTGAATGGTTAAAACGACAACATACTGTGTGGTAAAGATAATGGGTCTGTTACTTTAATATTATATTTCTTTCATCTTTTTTTGCCATATTCTTCTACGTAGAAATCTAGTTGTAGGCATATTAAAAAATATACTCAACCCATATTCAATTAATCTAAAGACTAATATTTATTCAAACTCAAGTGTTTTGGGTTTTTTTAGAATGAGATTCAAACTAATGAAAATGAAGACAAAGACTACAATTATGAGCAGAAGGAGAATTTGCCACCATGTTCTGACAATTTGTTTCCCCAGCACCTTGAAGAAAAGGTAAGAGGACTGCCATGGTGCTAAAAATTAAAACAACTCAGATATGGAATTCCTGTGAATGTTTAAAATGGGATTGTATGTATTGATGAAGAAACTGGTGAATAAATGTTCTGGCTATAAGATTGTGGAAACATTTCAATCTAAAATTATACTGTATATGATTACCAAAATGTATATATTTTATTTTGCCTTATTGGCATAAACCAGTGTTTCTCAATCTCAGAAATCTTTACAATGTGTGGACTTCAATCCCCAGAATTCCCCAGCCAACATGCTGGCTAAGGAATTCTGGGATTTGAAGTCCATCTTAAAACAGCTGAGGTTGAGAAACACTGTCTTAGACTGAATAGAGCGGGCCTTTAATATGTATTATAGTATCCAGGATACATCTTAGTAGCTTTTTGTTTCCAAGCGTAGATTAATGGAGTCATTGAACATGAAGTAATGTGTAGAGTAGCATGAAATGCCCATTAAAAAAATTCCTGTGCAGAACCCATACCCTTATTTCCTGAAAGCTATCAGCACATTTTTATTCCTTGGATAGAGCTTCTTCTCTACATTCTCAGGTAAACTGATCTTAATCCTATCCTAGTAACCTCCTGGTTTGTTGGGAGTTGCTTCCCCAACAGAAGGTCAGCTCATTTTAAAGCAAGCACCATGGATTAAAGAAGTAATTTCCCTTATTTGTTCTTTTCCTACAGCTGAATGGATGCTTTCAGTAAAAGGCCTCTTCCTGCTGATTTGAAAGAGTGAATAACTTATGATTTTATAGGCTTTTTTTGTGGCTTTCCCTTCTGCCCCGGTTAAGCATTTGCTTGATACGCATGAGAATTTCATGCAGGAAATGTGGAAATGAGGGGTGGGGAAAGTTTTTAAAGCTTTCCTAGGTGTAGGAAGAATGTGCACAAGAATATTTAATAAACCTACCAGCATGTTAATTGCATGCCAAAAGCACTGCTTCATATCACGTGAGGGCTTAAAACATGAGTGTCTTTCACTGAGAGTCCTGTTGAATGTGCTGTGAAATGCCTGGGATCATCTGTTTCTCCAAATCAGCCCCACAAGCACAGAATGTTAGCCCAGCTTACTTGGCTTCTTGTTAATTTGCACAGTTTAATTGCTCACAGTGGGGCTTTCACTGTAAATTAGAAGGAAGCTGCAGTTAAGCTTATTATGGTGTATTAATTCTTTAATTGAGCAGTCTTAAGGTGCATTTGATTTAACAGGGTGAATATTGGGGGCGGGGAGACACCCTGTTACTCAGAATGTGGCACAACTTGATTTATGATTGCCCTGTACTCAAGCATGCATGTGTACATGTGTATACAAACATATACTCTGTGCATGTGTGTACATATTGGTCGGTCCTCTGAAATTCCAGATAGAACTCTCCTGTAGATAAAATGCTGAGTTCTACTTTTATTAAGCGAAGATAAGCTAGTGTTTCTTCCTGATACGGTACAGTGTTCTCAAATGTGGAACGAATAAGCATTGACATGCAAATTAAAAACTGTAATGCAAATAGCACGATGTTAAAAGATAGTCAATCAGGGTTGAGGAAAACAATGTGGGAGATTGCAGGTAGTCCTGGACTTAGTATTCTAATGGAACCTGCCCATTGTGGTCGTAAGTCATGATGGTTGTAAAGCAGGTCACCCACATGACCAACCCAATTATACAACCTTTTCATCATTATGCATCATGAGGCATTTTTGCGAAAACCCAGAAGTGTTTCAACAAAATATCACAGTCACATGACCACGGGACATTGCAAACAGCTGTAAATGCAGGCTAGTTGATGGGCACCCAAAATAAGTCATGTGATTGGGGGGGGATTTGGAACTTTGGAACAGAGTATGTATCTTTGGAGAGAGGGGTGTCTATTGTAAATTCAAACAGTTGCTAGGTGACCAGTTGTAAGTCGAAGACTATCTGTATATACTATACACTATACTATGTGTGTGTGTGTGTGTGTGTGTGTGTGTGTGTGTAGGTCTTTGGTTATCCGGGTTTTCTCCCGCATATAATTGGAAGTGTCTTGGCGACGTTTCGACGAAGTCTCATTCGTCATCTTCAGGCTGGTGTTTTCGGCTTCGTGCTTCTAGGAGCAATGTGTGATCGCAGCTGTGATTGCTCCTAGAAGCACGAAGCCGAAAACACCAGCCTGAAGATGATGAATGAGACTTCGTCGAAACGTCGCCAAGACATTTCCAATTTTACGCGGGAGAAAACCCGAATAACCAAAGACCTACATACAAACACCCGCGAAAACCTCAGAAAACAAACACACACACACATATACACACTGTATATACACATATATATATATAAATACACACTGTATAGAAACAAAGTGAAGACACAAAGGTGTATAGAAAGATAGTATCACCCCAGATGCTTTTCTCAATTTCTGAAGACTACATGTTCAAAGGCTAAATGACATGGTGGCGCAGTGGTTAGAAAGCAGTATTGCAGGCTAATTCAGCTCACTGCCAGTAATTCAATCCTGACCGGTTCAAGATTGACTCAGCCTTCCCTCCTTCCAAGGTCAGTAAAATGATGACTCAGACTGCTAGGGGCAATATGCTGACTCTGTAAACCACTTAGAGAGTGCTATAAAGCAGGGGTCTCTAACCCCCGGGCCGTGGCCCAAAACTGGGCCACCACACGTTCAGAATTTGGCCACATGCGTGGCAGGCAAACACACATGGAGTTCCACTTGTGCAAGCAGCAGGCACGTGTGCTTGCTGCTTGAGCAAATGGAGCTGTGCACACCTGCCTCTCACACTTTACCATCCCCTCTCCCCTGCTGGGCCTCCCAAGACCAAAAGGTTGGGGAGTAATCTCTTTTGTCTGGCCTTTGAAGCTAAACAGAGTTGAACCTGGCTGGTGCTTGAAAAAGGAGATGATCTATTAATATTAAGGTTGAAAAAAAAATTCAGAAGATTCCAGTGGCAAATTATTTCCATACTAAAATAATTAAACATGGATGCATCTGTAAAAATGAAGTTGAATTTTACTCAAAGAAAATAGTCTTATAGTATCTGTGTTGAATCTTGAAATGTTCATTAGTTACATAGAATCTGACTTAATCAAACAATTTGCAAGCACTGGAGCTGCAAAATCATGATAGTGGAAGCTATACACTTAAGCATATAAATTTGATAGACAGACGGATCTTGGAGCTGGAGGATTGGACTTGTTAGCCAAATGCAAATAATTACAAATAGAATCTAAAACTATGAAGCATTTGTTCCCAGTGTGATCCAAGCTCTCAAGGATATTATTTTTCTGTAGTACTAGTGCCAAAGTTTGGGGGGGGGGATGATAGTGAAAATTTTGAGACTTACCAAATGTAAGAGTCTTTGGCTTTGTCATCCAAATCTTACACGATTTTGAGTTGTGATTTGGTGATTTTATGCAGAAAAATTTAAATGTTACCTTAAAATACAAATTAAAACATTACTTAAAGTTTGGATTCTGTGGACACTATCTGGGAGTGTTCTAGTTTTCACATTGCCAATTGCTAGCTTGTAGTCCTCAGAAACCTCCAGACATGGTATAATGGTTTATGTAATCCACAATAGTAGGGACTGCTGGTTTGTGGCAATTTAAGATTTGATGTGGCAGTAATACTGTGTTTTTGCATTTAATCACAATCTGCTTTGTGCTTTTCCCAACAACTTTGCCTGCTTTGCTACTTTTATGCTTATCACATGAGGTAAATTCTACTTCTCTGGGTAACTCCATAAGGAAAGATGGTTCATATACATATCTCTCCTACAGGTTTCAGTAAGAGATGGTTTGAATTCCAGTCTCTGTGAAGATGGCACTGGTGAGTTCTTAAACTCTCTTTTTATCCCCAAACCTACAAAATAAGGAATTAACAGATGTCTCCTGTCTGCTAGGCTTTTTATAATAGTTTTATTAAAGTTTACAAGTACAAAGATACAAAGACAAATGCAAACTAAGAAAAATATAAAAAGATGAAATGTGGAAAAAAGGAAAGGAAAACAGAAACGAGAAAAGATGTATAAGAGATGACTCCCCCTTCCTCTAGGCAAATATAAGCAATTTGGCTAAATTGATGCCTTCTCTAGTACTTAAATAAAAATTCTTCTTCCCATATCTTATCCCTTATCAATAATCACATTACATAAATTACACATCCTGATCAGTAAAAGTCTGTTAACAATCACTAGAAATATTAACATATTCATTCCTAATCTTAATAAAAAAAATTTGCAATCCAAACTTTGTCATTTTCTGTAAAGGATAAAGCAGAAGAAATTTCTTCCCATTTAGAAAGAGATCTTTAAAGCTTCATCGTACAATCCCATTAACAGCTACCCAAAAATCCCATTAACAGCTACCAGAAAACCATAACATATTTTTTTAACCATTATCAAACATATACACTTTATATATCTTATTTCCGCTTTTAAAAAGCTTGATCTTTAGTTCCCATCAATTTATTTATTTATTTATTTATTGGTTTGATTTATATGCCACCCTTCTCCGGAGACTCAGGGCGGCTTACAATGCGTTAAGCAAATGACCTTCATACTTTTGTATATACCTGCTTAGTAGGGCTTTCGGGGGCCACTAAGCGGTGTTCTTTTTTTTATACAAAGTCAGCTTATTGCCCCCACAATCCAGGTCCTCATTTTACCTACCTCGAAAGGATGGAAGGCTGAGTCAACCTTGAGCCTGGTGAGATTTGAACTTGCAGTAATTGCAGGCAGCTGGTGTTATTAACAGCACTTTAGTCTGCTGTGCCACCAAGGCAATTAGTGTCCCACAAGTTGATTTCTTATCAATTTCTCTTCCTCCGGGAACACCTTAAGCAGTTCCTTTTTGTCTCTTCTCTAAGAAAATTTTCCTGGTTCCACATATGTTGCTTTTGTCAATCCAAAGTAAGAAGGCTTTTGAAGACACTCTTCTGATTATACCTGTATGTCTCTTTAACAATCAGAACATCAATTGGTTTCATTGGTAAATTCATCTTGACATCTTTTTGCACATCACTCTTATCTCTGGCATTTTTAAATAGATCCACACGGGTGATCTTTATTTTCTTCTTAGTCCCGAGAAGAATTCTGATGAGCTGATCCCTTCATCAGCTCCTATTTTGACCATATTCATAGGTTCCACAAAAAGCACCAATGATCAGTTTGCAATGCTACCCCGAAGGTCCTCCTGTCTGTTAGCTTTTACCAATTATTTAGTTCAGAAAAATACCTGTTTTGCCTTCTGAAACCTAATTCTGGAAACATTGCCAGTCTTCTGTATAATCAGAAGCAAAACTGCCTAAATCATCCCACAGCTGATTGTTCTGTACTCTGAACCTTTTAAGAATTTTGCATGTGCTTAAAACAGATTAGACTGTGTTCTCCTTGCTTGCATAACGGTTTATCATTTCTGACTTTAAAAAATAGAACTAAATGGATTTTGCCATAGAGGTAGTCCTTAACTTTCATTTAATATTTGTTCAAAGTTATAGTGGTGCTGAAAAAAAGTAACTTATGACCGGTCGTCACACTTAATAACTCACACAAGATCAAAATTGGCAACCAGTACTTATTAATGAAAGTTGCAGCATCCCAGGATCACATGGTCATTTTTTAAAAAAAACTTCCCAGGGGGCTTCTGACAAGTAAAGCCAACAGGGGAAGCCAGATTTGTTTAACAACTGGTGGCAAAAAAATTATGAAATTGGGCATAACACACTTAATGCCTGCATTACTTAGCAATGGACGTTCCAATCCCAATTGTGGTTGTAATTTGAGGACTTGCCTATAAAAACAGGGATAAGAGACTACTATAAGTGCAAAAAACAAACAAAAATATTGGTACAACTCTATGCTAATGAAACCTCTGAATTATTGCAGAATAATAGATTTGGAATATAAATCTGCTTGACACTATTGTTTATCAGATAGTGTGATCTCATGTAGGTGCCAAGCGCTTCCTTCAAGTTAGTGTGTATTAGAAATAGTGTACTTTTTGTGTTGTCTCCTGAAGGGAATTTGAATGGATGTGCAGATAAGAAGTTAGAAATAGCTTGTTTGGTGGAATTATCAAGGCAAAAATCAAGATTTATCATAAGAGACCCTGGGCTAACTTTCTTTAATGTCACTCAGTAGTGGGTTCCACTTACCTTCACTACCAAATGTCTCACTTAATTTAAGTTTGAATCATACCTCTATGTTTTTTGTTTTTGTTTTGTTGTTTTCAATTTCCTCTCCTCAGAAAAATACTTAGCAGTTTATTTTATGTAGTAGGAAAACATTGTTGGGTCAAACCAATAACTCACCAGTCATTTAAAACCTATGCTCTGATTTACTTAATTAGCTTCATTTATGGACAAAAGATTTATGCACCTTGCAGCTTGTGAAACACAATGTTTTTGTGCACTGCATTTAATAAGTTAACTTTTTAATACTAGGATTTGTCTGTGGACACTTCAACATAGGCTCTTAGCACCGCTGCAAAACCAGACCATCAACTAGGTTCAGCTGTCACATTGACTAATTTCTAACTCAGCTGCAGTATATCCAGTATCACATAGAAACGTTATTTATTTTTGCTTTGCAAAAGTTATGGGTAGTCATTTTTCCTCTTGCCAGAAATTCTTGCCTCACTGGATCCTAAGTGTCATATAACATTCTGTTCATAAGTCCTTGAAATGGAATGTGGCCTAACAGCTTCAAAAGTCTCCTTTCACAGCAAGCATTCAGGGTTTTCTTTCTTTCTTTCTTTTTTCTTTTTCATTCAGGGTGGGGGGCCATATGATCAGACAGGTGCTCATCGCTCTTCAACTGCAGCAGTGTTGATTGTTTGGCGGATTTGGTGGAACTGGGACTGTGTGGCAGAGTCTTGTATTCATGAGTTTTGAGGAAAAGAACCTAATATGACTCCTTTTGTTTTAGCTGGGTGTAACTTCCAGAAAGAGATTGAAATTGCAAGACCTGTCTATGCCAAACAGCAAAGTCCTAATTCTAGAGCATCTTCTCAGTCTGACAGCTCTCCTCCCAAAGCAGTGAAGGTACAATGAATTTTTTTTTCATTCATGGGCAATGTAGGAAAAAAATCAAAAATGTAAATTAGTTGGTGAGAATTGTACATCATGCTGCTTTTTTACTTCCAAATGTTATTAAGTTATCTTTTTCCACATTTTAGGTCATGAAAGAATATTACATTATAGTTCTGTGAAATTGCAAAATATATTTACTTATTCCTTTGTTAGATTTATGTCTTGCCTTTTTCCATTAACCCAGTTTTTCCTCTAACAATTCTGGGAGACAGAGTGAGTTGAGAAAAAGTGACCAAGTGGGTGTCTCTTAACACTACTCCAGCACCTGAACTGTGATTTTACATTGACTCTCACGACATCTCAACAAAAGCTATTTTGAAAAATTGTATCTTTGGTACAATGGTTTCTGTATAACATGATTTAATTTTATATTCAACATACAGAATGCATTCAAAAATAAGCAACACAAATATGTTGATATACAAATGAACAATGACATGACTACATGTACATACATGTATACATAAATGAAAAAAGAAAACATACATAGGCCTAAAAAGGTCTAGTTATTTAGAAACTCATTTTAGGACTGGCTTATCGGTATAATTCTGCTTTGGAGTCCCTAAGCTTGTTATGTTTCTGTATTTAACATACCTGCATGAATATATGTTTTCTAAAAATACAAAGTGCTTCAAACTTTCTTTAGCCATGAGGAAGTCCAGTCGCTGACATATCATAAGGTTTTCTGTGACTATTGGTGATATTTGTGAAATAATGAAGACAATGTCAATCTATATTTCCCTCTACCTTTTAATTACAATAGACTAAATTCTATTTTCAACTGCGTCTGTTAAAGGGATAGAAAGAAGGTACATGGTATGGTTTTTGAGTCATAGAAATGTTTATGGAAACCAGAACATTTGACACTTGATTTCTGTTTACCACTAATTTGGGGGAAGGGGTATGTCAGCTTTTTGACTGAAATAGGAAACTGTGCAGTATTGCTGATGATTTCATTAATATGTCCATGTAATTTTTCCTGAACAGTTCTGTATGAAATATGTTATACTGTCATATATATGCTGTTACCGTTTGTTTTGAAATTTTTTGCCTGTTCATAAAGGAATTTCTTAGCGCCTGAGCCTACTTTAATAGCTTTATAATAAAATATTTTTCACTGGAGGAACTACTTAGTATACTTTCCAGCAAGTCCATATACGTTTATAAATAGTCATTTGTCTTTTTCAGCTTCTGTTTCCTGCTCCTGGTTTCTAATCTCTATTCCTGTCTTCTGCTTCCTTTTTAACGTGAGCTCATCTCTCAGCTTTCCTGCGTCCTCTCCTCTTTTTATTAACTGGACTTCATGGTTCTACTGTAGTTGCTCTTCATAACATGCTTGAAAAGGAATATACTTCTGCACACCCCCAAAAGTTTCTCCCATGTAAGTTGGAAAGGGGAATACACATTGCTGCAACTGATGTCATTTATTGCAAAGTGTGCCTGTTCCCAGAGCAAGCTGGAAAAGGTGGAGTTTTAATATTCAGATTTATTTCCTGGATTCTTTAGAAGGATCTGTAGTCTGCACTATTAGGGGAATTCCATGACACTATAGCTTCCCTAATCATTATAATAAAAACGTTTCATTGTGTGCAACATTTCTTTCTTTCCAGAAAAGTTTTTCTATAGAACACAAAACCAGCCTTATGCTTTTTTTGCTACCAATTTCCAAAAGCTGTGGGTAGCTAATCCATATATAAAGCAACATCGGGCATTTAAACCTACTGAAATCTTGATAGGCTTTAGGTACAATATTATTAATTATCAACATTGCTTGAATGGTCTATCTAGCAGCACATCTCTTTCCGCCCAGCTGTGTCCTATCTCTGTGTTTAATTTGTGCCGCCCAGTCTGTTTTCACTTTTATTTAAATGACACATTCTTATAGCAATTATAAGGTACAGGAAGAGTTTTCATACATTAGAATACATTCATCATTTCTGCCTGTTGAAGCACTAATTCCAGAAATTATGAAATTATTTCAGTTAGATAGCTTACTATAAGAATCAATTGTTTGACAGTTGATTTTGAAGGCAGCAGAGCATGTGATAAAAAGTTCACCTAATTGCTCAGGTAAATTCACTGAAGTTACAATCAGTCATAAAAAGGAAGCAGAGCTTTGATCGCACTACAGGTAGTCATCAACTTACGACTATTCATTTAACGACAGTTCGAAGTTACTGTGGTGCTGAAAAAGTCACTTACAACCCATTCTTGCACTTATGACTGTTAATTCTAGCACTTGGCAACCAACATTTACAACAGTTGCAGTATCCTGGGGTCATGTGGTCATCATTTGCAAGCTTCTCAGCCATCTTCTGACAAACAGAGTAAATGGGAGAAGCTGGTTTGCTTAACAATTGCATGATTCATGTAACCATCACAGTGATTTACTTAACAATTGTGACCAAAAAAATGCCATAAAATTGCATGACTTACTTAACAACCGCCTTGCTTAGTAATGAAAGTTTTGATCCCAATTGTGGTTGTAAGTCGGAGACTACCTGTGTTATGGCTGCCATCGTGACTTTTTGACCGTAGCCTGTAGGTACCCTTGAGCTTCCCTAACTCCTTGCGCTTCTTCAACTTTGTGTATGCTTTCTCATGCATTTTCTGCTTGGGTGAAGGCAGAGCCCCCAGGCTTGAGCACTGGAAAAGAGAAGAGGAACAATCCTACATGCGTCAACCATAAGCCAGCTCCGAGTGGTGCTGACTGACTAGTTCTAGCATGCTTTAGCAGAGCTGTTCTGGACATTAATTTGCCACCTTTAAAAAGAAAAAAGAAACGTGAGTGGCATTTTAAACCAAGAGTAGCCTTTTTCTTTTTTTTTGGAAAAGTTTTTCAGTTTTATTTCTTATACACATAATATAAAATATAAATTTTCTTATACATAATCAATCATGCATATACATGTTTTCCTTAAAGAAAGCATTTAAACAAGGTATTTTAATTACATTCGGAGTTGCTCTTCTACCCTTTCTTTCCTCATTTCGCAACAAACCACCTTCTTCTTCTCCTCTTTCTCTTCCCTCCCTCCCTCCTCTCCTCTCCTACTTTCTCCTTCCTCCTCTCCTACCTCATCCTACTTCCCTTTCCTTTCCCCCACTCCTCTCTTCTTTTCCCCCTTCTCATCTTCTCTCCTACTCCTGTCCCCTACCCTCCCTCCCTCTCCTTTTCCCTTTCTTCCATTCCTCTCCCTCCCTCTCCGAGAGTAGCCTTGATAATGCTCAGGATGATAGTGTTTTTTGTAGTGAAACTAATCACTACTAACATTTTAAGTATTTGGTTAGAGCCTTTAACTCTGTCTTCATTGTTTTAGACCAGGGGTGTCAAACTGGCAGTCCGCGGGCCAGATGTGTCACACGCAGGCCACATCCACCCCAGCTCCACAAAGGGAAAAAACGTGAAACATTACACGACAGCAACGTGACACAACGAGTTTGACACCCGTGTTTTAGACTCTTGAGTGCCTTTGCTGCTTTTGCTCTTGGTCTCCCTCTTCAATTACCTCTCTTTTGAATCTGTTGTCCCTCTAGAGATGCTGAAGAAGATGATACAATTGTAACATTAAATTGACAGAAATTTAGAATTTTGTCCATTCCATCTGGTTGTTTGATAAATTCTGGAGCCCGTTAAAAATATCAACAAAAGATAGTCTGCTAAATTATTTTGGGATTTTGCAAACGTTTTCAAAAATGCTAACCTTCTAATGTGATGAGATCTAGGACTAGGTACACATAGGAGAGAATGTTCTTTTTAAATTACATAATTTAATCTGTATTAACTTTAGAGGAAGGTTCTGTAGAGGCTAACTTCAGGACTCTTGAATGAAAAATATCAAAAGATTGTTCATATTTACACCATTCATCCACTTTTCTTTCAACAGAAATTTCAGGTGCCAGCAAAGGAAATATGTATTGCTTGCAAGAAGACTGTATATCCAATGGAGCGTCTCTTTGCCAACCAGCAAGTCTATCACATTAGCTGTTTCCGCTGTTCTTACTGCAGTAGCAAACTCACGTAAGCCTCAAACAAAATAAAAGTAGTTTACTATATACATTTAATGTTCTAATGTGCTTTAAGGTAGATAAATGATTTTAGTATAGTAGAGCTATACCAAAATGTGAACTGAGTATAGTCTTTGGATGGTCACAAGAAGTTCAAGAGCTATAATAATTTGGGGGCAGTTATACATGCTCACAATGAAGTAGTCATAGATAATAAAGCTTACTGTGGAGTTTCTAACTGAGGTAGCAAAAAGAAAATTAAAATCCATATGATCTAAATTTAAAAAAAAGTAACAGCATTAGAGATAGAGAAGGCTATTAATCTGGATTTTTTTTTTTCAAAAATAAGATCAGATAACTATCATGACTAATGGGGATTTGCTGGGATTACCATTGCTAAGCAACATAGTCTCATGATGTTGCAACCGTATTCCTTAACAGTGGAAATTCTGGTCTCAATTACCACCATTAAGCAAGGTCTACCTATATTTCAGATCCATTTGTTAAGATATTTAAAATGTAATAGCTGGAGCAGGGAAGGATTGGACAATGAGTAAGAACACACAGCTAATTGGGTAAAGAGAGCTGACCACTGCATGAGGGAATCTGAGTTGTAATTGGTTGCTGTAAGAGTAAAGGGGGAGATTCCTTGTTTCCCGCCTTTTTCCTCTATATCAGGGGTGTCAAACTCAATTTCATTGAGGGCCACATCAGGGTTGTGTTTGACCTTGGGGGGCCGTGGTGGGCATTGCCAGGGTGGGCACGGTCAGCTTGACGTCCCTTGTGTTGGGAGCACCTATGGTGGCCAGCGTCCTCTGCCAGCAAAAATGGGTTCCTGAGTTCAGTTTTCAGCTGCGATGGCCTCCTGCAACCCTCTGCCAGTGAAAATGGAGCTTGGGAATGCCGCCCATGGCCCTCGCAAGCTCCATTTTCAGCTGCAATGGCCTCCTGCAACTCTCTGCCAGCAAAAACTGAGCTCAGGAGGGTCACACACAGCTCTGTTTTTGCTGGCAGAGGCACCACGGGCCAGTCCTTTGCTGTTTCCAGGGCAGCCCCGCGGGCCAGATCTAAGCACCCCGTGAGTCAGATCTGGCCCCTGGGCCTTGAGTTTGACACCCCTGCTCTATATGATGTGTGTGCTGTCTGTGTTTTATCTCATGATGTTCCTGCTGTGTTGATTTACCTAATGATGCTCCCGTTTGCCTATCTTACTTACTGTAAATATATTTATTTATATAAAACTGGTTCATGTCAGCGTCTCTGACTCCATTTGGACACTGGCTACGCAATCCCATGACAATTTTCTAGTCAAAATCCACATGTCCTGTTAAGCTTTAAAAATAATAAGTGGTTTGTCTTGAAATGGTTGTACAGTGTTCATTATGATAATTTCCATCTGCAGATTGGGTTCTGCAGTTTTCTCTTTATATATGGCCCTTTGTAAGACAACAGCAGGTGTTGCTTTTAATAACCATGATTTCTTTTAAACTATGACTGTCTTTTGTATCTGAGAAATTTTTCCCTTTTAAAGTTGCTGTATAAGGAAAGTGATTCTAAACAGAAAACTAGTGTAATTAGATTGGTATAATATTTAACCGTAGATGCATGCAACTGCCCAATCTCATATGTTAGCTTAGGTTATTTTATGTAGTCAGTAATAAAACAGCTGGCTTTTTTTTTAAAGGCATGGTAAGCTTCTTCAATTGTGTGAGTTACTAATGGGCATTTTTATTGTGTCTTCCTTATACAGACTTGGAACATATGCTTCTCTTCAAGGACATGTTTACTGCAAGCCTCACTTTAACCAGCTATTCAAGTCCAAAGGTAATTATGATGAAGGTTTTGGACATAAGCCTCACAAAGAACTATGGACAAGCAAAACTGAGACTGATGACTGTATTGGAAATGCCGTGGAAGCCCCTCATAGTCCAGGAGTAGAAGATGCCCCAATTGCAAAAGTTGGGGTTTTAGCTGCCAGCATGGAAGCAAAAGCTGCTGGAATGTCTGAGAAGGAGGAAAAAACTACAGAAACAAAAAAGTTGAAGATTTCCTGGCCACCTCCTCCTGAACAAGGCAGTCAAGGGAGTGTCTTGGAAGAAGGCATTAAAGTATTCAAACCAAAGTGGCCCCCAGAGGATGAGGTTCAGAAACCAGATCCCCAGGAAGAAGTAGACCAAGATCTTAAGAAGCTACGCAGAACATCATCATTAAAAGAAAGATGTCGACCATTTACGGTAGCTGCCTCATTTAGAACGGTATCTGTGAGGAACTATCGAATGGAAAACTCATCTCCTCCCAAGCATGAAACAAGTACAGCACGGCAAAGTGACGAGCTTGTGAAGGAAATGGCAGTCAAGAACAAACCGAAGGAAGAAAACAGTACAATTGAGTATGTCGGTACCCCAAATACTGCCGAGAAGGATAGAGAACTAGATCAGGAAAAGGAAGAAGCACAAAATGGAGCGTTCCTATTTAAGAATGGGCAGAATAATGCTGAGCCTGAGGAGGAGGAAGAGGAAGAGGAAGAAGAAGGAGGAGGAGGAGGAGGAGCAGGACAACCAGCATTTCTTGAGAAAGAACCAATGATTTGTATCTCTCCAGAATATTCATCCTTGATTCTCTCAAGTGAAAAAGAATTCTCCACTAGTCCAAATTATAGATCCAAAGATGCAGGGCTTTTTGAAGGAGAAGACCAAGATGGTTTAAGTGTGGAAGAACAGATCAAGAGGAACAGATACTATGATGAAGATAATGATGAAGAATAGATTTTATTCTCTTTTTTTTTTTCTTTAAATAGAGGACTTACTGAAAAGTGCAGGGCCTTAAATTGGAGTTTAATGTTTTGTTATTTCCTAAAGCAGGCGTCTTTACGAAAGTGACTTTGTGTTGCAAATTAGTGTGAAAAATCACATAACTCTTCAGATTTATTTTATAGGAATATATTTTGGAACATGCAAGAATGTTACCAATTTTGTGATAAAGTTTAAATGCTTAAAATTGTGGAGATAGCTGCTGCCTCAGTTGAGAAAAAATGTGTTTCACATTCCATTTTGTAACTTAGTCACTTAAAAGGCATTGTATTCTCTTCTGCTTACCACAGTTTCAGCCATTTCACAGTTAAGCGAAAAAGATAGGGCTTTGATATACTTAATTATGACATTATCACTACTAACAATACTACTGCAGAGCTTCCAGATCAGTTTCCAAGAGATGGGGACTACTTTAAAAGAGACTGCACTTTAATGTATATATAAAAACAGAGTAATACTTTTTAAAAATGGTGGTAACACTGTTTTCAAGAGAGGTATTGTTCAGTACCTACAGTATGATATGCAGTCTGCAATTTTATAAAAGAGGAAAGCTGACTTTGCTTGATCAGGATTAGGAGAGAATCTGTCCATTTTGTCTTTTATTTTATTTTATTTTGTCCATACAACTCTAGTTGTAAATTGGCATCCAGGTTCCTCTGACTCAATTGGCTTTCTCCAAGCTGGTCTTAGGAGCATCTTTGTTCCCAAGAATCAGCTTAAGGATGGCATAGTTTCTGTCTTTCAGATATTATACACTGCTCAAAAAAATAAAAGGAACACAAGCAGAAGACATCCGAGATCTGAATGAATGAAATAGCCTTATTAAATACTTTGTTCTTTACATACAGTAGTTCATACACTACTCAAACAATTAAAGGGAACACAAAACTACTGTATGTAACGAACAAAGTATTTAATAAGGCTATTTCATTCATTCAGATCTCGGATGTCTTCTGCTTGTGTTCCCTTTATTTTTTTGAGCAGTATATTTACCTTCTATACTTGTTGTCCCAAATAACATTTTCCTCTTGAAAACTTGATTCTCTCTTTTGGCAAGCAATCAGAGTTCTCTATGAACCAAACTGCCAGATTTGACTCAGTGTGAAAAAAAAGTTGCAAGAAAAAGAATCTATATAGTGGTAAACTTTTTTTTTTTTTTTTTTTTTTGAGACTGATAGCCTTATGCGTTTAGAGCTTTTCAGCTTGGCTGCATGTGTTATATAAAACATAGTGTTTTGAATTGGTTAAATGCTTTGTTGCAATAATTTTAATAGTGTTATGCAGTGCTTTGGATTCAATTCCAAAATGGAACTTGAAAGTCTGTGGAGCATAAAACATAGTACCTTTGGGCAGCTTTTTAAAGCATCCTTGTCTTTTTCCAGATCAGATGGCAACCGCAGAGGACTTATGAGCAATCCTGGGAAAAGATGTGGCTACTTTAAAAAGTTGCAGACCAATGCTTAGTTTACACATTTCCATGTTCTGAAGCACCTTTTGGGAACTGGCTCTGATGCATTGTATAAACCCTTATTTTTAATCTGTATTATTTGTTTACTTAAATTCTAGCTATAATCTTACAATTGTGAAATATCTTGCTTTTCTTACCATTATTATATAGTTTGAAACATTTTTACTTAAATAAATGCTCTGTCATTTTTTTTGTGGAAAACTTTTAATCCAGACTCTTTTTTATAGAATCCTATTTTACACCAGGAGGTGACACTATTTGGCTTTTTGTATGGTAACTATTTTCTTAAACGTTTATTCTAAATAGGTCTTGAACTAGCCCCTGTGGGAATATTAGTAGATACCTAGTTTAATTCTTCTTTTTAATAGTGTAAAGGGTTTGGCTTCCATCATGCATGACAAATAGAAAACAATGAAACATCAGTTTAAGCATACTTGAAAGCCCAGAATACACTTGGTTAAAAGTGTGCAAGTTTAGCTGATTACAGTGCATTTTATGAACTCCTTGAAGGTTTTTGATGATACACATAACTAGAAGATAAATGTAAGTAGAGGTTTGGGAACTATAATACCAGTAAATAGCTCAGCTCTGACATTTAATATGCCATTAATACCATCATGGACACACTTGCTTACCCGTATCTAGTCCTTGGCTTAAGCGAACAAGCTGTGATTTGGCTTCTTTTTTTAATCATTCCAACTGTGTACAGTATAGTAGATACAGAGACCTTACTGGGTCAGAAGTCAGAGTCTAACTTCTTATACAGGATTTCTTCCTAGTCCTGCCAAATTACTTTGGGAATGCAACATAAATTCTTAAACCTTTGTCACACCACTCTAAAAATACCCTGATAAAGCTGTTTAGCATTTGTAAGTCTCTTTCAGAATGCTTCAGATATTTGACCTCCAGAATCCTTCAGACAGGCAGTAATGCATTTATTAGCATAGTGGAGGGCACCATCTCGACACAAGACTTTCAGCATCTCTGCATAAGAGTTTTGCACCAGGCAAAGATTGGTTGTAAACCTCTACAGTTTTCTGAAAGTACATGGCTTCTGGCTCTGCACAGTTCACTTGAAACCAGAGTAAAATCTGGCTTTCATTTTCTAACATGGCAGAGGCTTAGTGCTGGTCCATTTTTCAAATTGACAAGAGTGCTAATGGACTCCCAATGGGCTGAAGCCATTATTTTATTTGTAGAAGTTAAGTGTCTTGGAGCATTGTCAGTAACTTCTGCTTTCCTATCGTAACAACACACAGCCACAATCAGAACAACTTGGGGAATCTGCCAATGAGTAAATAGAGGACAACAACTTTGCAGTTAAGAAACCTGTCATGGATGTTGCTCAGAGACAGAAATATATCAGCAAGAACTGAAAATGCTACGGGTATGCTAGCAAAATAGATAAAAATGAGAATGATTGCAATTGGGCTTCCTCCAGTTTTGCAAAGCAGTTGGGAATGAAGATGGTAATAATAATGTCAAAGTACTCACAAAGCACCTCACCTAAAACCACTTGTAGAATTCATGGTCTGAGTAGAGATTTCAGCTAGACCTTTCATGAGCAATTCAGTCTTGAGCATTATATGCTCCTAACTCATTAAGTAATTAAGCTTTTCCAAGGACCACAGATAGTCCTCAACTTATAACCATTCATTTAATGACCGAAGATACAATGGTACTGAAAAAAGTGACTTATCACTGTTTTTCATATTACCATTGCAGCATTCCTATGATCACATGATCAGAATTCAGTTGCTTGGCGACTGGCATGTATTTGACGGTTGCTGCATGTGATCACCTTTTGTGATCTGAGAAGCAAAGTCAATGGGGAAGACTGATTCACTTAATAACCATCTTATTCGCAGACATTCACTTAACTGTGGCGAGAAAGATTATAAAATGGGGCAAAACTCAACAACTGTCTTGCTTAGTAACAAAAATTTTGGGCTCAATTTGACCATAAGTTGAGAAGTAACTGTATTACAGTTTAAAGCAATGCTAGTTTCAAGTCAACATTCTTATATTTTCCCTAAAAGTGCTTTTCTTCAATAATCCAAGGTATCTTTTTTTAAATAACAAACAGCTACCATGTAATAGTAGTGATTCCCAATTTTTAACAGTTGATGTTTCCAAGTGTCAGTACTGAGAAGAGACCCTGGAGGTAGTTGCAGGAGACAATATGAGAAACGATGTCCCTTGTATGGGAAAAAACTTTGGTCAAAAGTTTTTTCAAAAACAAGCTATGGTATCTGCTAGAGCAGGGGTGTCAAACTTGCAGCCCACAGGCCGGATGCATGATGTGCTGGCCCCGCCCGGTTTAGCAAAGGGGAAAGTCCCGATATGTCACATGACGCTGCCGTGACGACGTGAGTTTGACATCCCTGCGTTAGAAGCTGGGATTATGGGAGGGAAAAAGATTTTACCAGGCTCAGAGCAGCCATTTTAAGAAGGTAAAGTTGTATATCTGGTATCTTCTTATTCATTCCTTTCCCCTGGGTTATAGTTCTTCCCATGGTTTTAAGTGTGGTTTATTAATGTCAGATATTTGTCAGAATTAGAAAGTGGCCGTTTATCTCCTCATTATATCTCTTCGTTCCCTGACTTAATATTTGTCCTCCATTGCTGGAGGCCCAGTTAATTTCAGCCTCACACCAGCCCCTTTGTTCTGTCCCCGTCCCACATGCACACACACCAACAGACGTCCAAGAGTTAAAAACCAAACCAGCCAACAAAATCCTTTTCCTTATGATAATGGAACTTGGCAGCAACCTAGTGGCTGCCTGCCAAGAGTTTATTACTTACGAAGGGAAGAGATAACTTCTCTCCGCTTCTGGTACATCAAAGTAAAATGCTCAATAATTACAGAGTAAATCAAGTCCAAATATAATCCAGCAAAGTCTATAGCAAAAGTCCGGCAATGCAGAATGGCGTGGAAGCTTTCAGCTTTGTTCGTCACAAGGCTTGACTGGCCACCACGCTCCCTTTTATACCCTGTGGGGTGTGGTCCAGTGACTCAGCCTAATCTCGGGCACGCCTTTTCTTCTGTTGCGCGCGCTTATCTCTGCGACGCTGGCATGGATCCAGCCAAGACTCATTACTCTCATCACTGTCCACCTGTGGCTGCGTGGATGTGCTTGGCCCGGCCCTATCTCTTGCCCTTCGGCGGACACCGAAGGCATTGCCAAAGAGGAGGGTCCTGGAGAGGGAGGCCTTGCCAACTCCTCTCCTTCACTCTCGGAGTCCTCTCCTGCCGATGACAGGCTCAGGTAACAGAGCCACAACACCCTTGAATCTGCTATCCACTCTGCTATTCTGCTGCCTTTAGGCTCCTTGATCACCCTGGACCTGCTGATATCCAGCAGCAAAAGCAGCTGGCATCCCTGAGGGAAATATTTGGTTTGTTGAAAGCAGTTCGGGATCTGCACCACTTTCAACAGAGTGTTGAAAATAATTTTTGTAAAGGGAGCTAAGATGATGTCTTATCAATATAATAATAATAATCAGAAAATTGAACAGAATGGGATAAGGTTACGTGGGAGAGAAGCTAGCAAAAGAAAGATGAATTTTCAAATAAAGCTTGATGAAACTGGACTCTGGAGAAAAATATTTCCCCAAAACATTCCTATGGGAGAATGTTGCCAATACCTCCATTCTAAGCTCCCTCCTTCTCCCCTCCCAACCAGATGGCCCAGAGTAGCCCTTATGCAGTCCATCCCGTACTTTCTAGAGCACACACACAAATGCCACATGAAGCACATAAGCACAGATGTAACATGTTACTGTTGTGGCCCACCAGCTACCAGCAGAGCTGGCAGCAGACTTGGTTGGAGAGGAACCTGGGCCAATTCTGGAGTCTGGGGAAGGCTGGATGGATGCTCTGTGTCGGACGCAGAGATAGAGCCAGGGCCGTCAGACATTTCCCAGCCACCGGAGAGGCAGTTGCCTTTGGAGGGTGATAAGAGGGAGGAGGAACAGCTGGGGCCTGATCCAGATGCACATATGTGCAGAGCTGTTAGGAGAGAACAATGGAGGACAAGGAGTCGACTCGGGAAGCAAAGCACAAGTGGACGTTGAATGGTCCCTCCCTGGCTGGGGAATAAATAGAAGGAAAGGGAAGTGATTGTCGTAGGAGACAACAGTTCAGATTTCTGAAGATTTTGCTCATTGTGTTTCGTGCCACAGAGAGTGCTTGTCAGAACTTAATTTGCAGCCTTTTGGCTGGGAGCTTATGGCCTTGCAATTATAGCAAGGAACTGATAAGGTTTGTTACTGCAGTTAATTCTTTAAAGGATTATTGCCTGGACTTTTTGGTGAGTGAATGCAATTAATTCATAAGTGGTAAATAAAGAGGAATTTTTCATGACAAGGAGTCAGTTTCTTGCTTTGCTAAGGCTGGGCAGAACAGTCACTTTGGTGTACAGAAGAAAATGTTCCTCCTATGCTACTAGTAGGTTGGAAAGAAATCTAGAAGCAGTTCAGCATGCTTTCCCTACCCTCTTTATCTTTTTCTGTTGATATAATTCCTTACACCAGTGTTTTTCAAGCTTGGCAAGTTTAAGATGTGTGGGATTTAACTCCCAGAATTCCCCAGCCAGCACTGCTGTTGAAGTCTACACATCTTAAACTTGCCAAAGTTGAGAAACACTGCTTTACACATCTATGACATTTCATTATATAATTCTTTTTATCCTGTTCCTCTTATCTTGTCAACTTTCCATTTATTCTGTTACCAGTTTTATCTTTTAGTACTTTTCATGCAGTATTTATATTTTCCCTTCCTTCAGTTCTGTTTCTGCATCTATCTTTTATATCTATTTCCTAGGGTCAACTATTTACAGTACTATAAATGGCCAGTGCTATTTCTGTAGCTCTCATTAGCTATGTATCCTTCACTATTTTTTTCCAGGCTTTTATGATAAAATGAGTTGTGTTTTTTGGTTCAAAATTTTTTGCCTTGTGCATGTATTAAGCATAAATCTATTTGAAACAGATTTTCTTCTAAACAAATAGTTATCATTTATTTTTAGATTCCTCAATAACTCAGTTATTACCCATCAATCCATAGTACATAAAGAATAAATTTTAACCAAGGCAGATTGGTTACAAGGCAAACACATCTAGCTTTTCCTTTGTTATTTACCAATAAAATCTTTTTTTCATTTAATACCGTGAATTAAAGAATTTTAGAAGTGGAGATCATCCTGG